AGGGCAATTTTTAACATATATAGAATACAAAACAGAGTAGCATGAGAAACTACCTTGAAAGCACCAGAGACAACATCAGATACACGTCCTTCTTTTGCAAGAACTGAACCAAGAATGCCTAAAAAGCACACGATCAACCAATTGATTAGAAATACATGCTCTTTAACTAAGACAACATAAAATAATAATTGTATGTCGAACCCTGCAATTGCAGTAAGTTGGTTCATGAATCATAAGAAACTACCAATAAGAAGAAAAAACCAGATTGATTAGAACCCTTTAGATGAGGTCAGAAGCTACTACTCGAATGGGACTGGACAGGTGACAAGCGGGCATGAAAATTGAGAAAGAAAGCACGTAACAAACACAAGAGGAACCATTTTCCACCAATTTGATGAGACCCAAATGCCTATACTTTCACGTTTCGCAATATACCGTAGGATTCTCCCAAAAATATCACTAACCCATATGACAAAACACGGTCTTGGATAGTTTAAGCACGACTTAAGCTCCTCAACAAACACCAAACACTGCACATTTTTAGTCAAATGCCAAAAACAACAGAACCCATATGGCTCGGATACTCAAATACCAATACAGCTCCACTTTCACACTCTCAGACGCCTTTCTCAATTGCAATGTCGTATTAAGTTAACAATGCATTCAAAAGAACCCATATTTCCTCCTCCCAGCTATCCATTCAGTGTTCCCAAATGATAGAACTACGGCTAATCCAAAACCCTAACTTTAATCCGCCAGTACTATGCCCGAATAAAAAATTAAAAATTACAAACCAGTTCGGGACAATATCGCAACGGGGATTCCAGAGAATACGGAAATAGATTGCTATGGCGTCCGAGTTATTACGAAATTGAATGAGTGAAAGGGAAAGGAGGGATTTGTACGGACCTGCGCCCACGAGGATGGTGAGCTTGCCGAGAGGGAGAGCAGCCATGGACTCTGATTATATTTAGGTATCGTCTCGCGGAGACTAAATTGCAGAGCGACAAGGCATCGAAGCTCCTCCTCCTTTCGATATCACAGAACTGGTCAATTGTATGACAAGAAATCGGAATTTTTCTCTCTTTCCGAATTCCAGGTGTTTCTCTCTCTTCCACTCTCTTTCTCTCTCCTCCGCTACTGAGAAAGAACTGAGAATCGACTAGTTCGGTACAGCATGGGCGACAACCCTACTTCCGCCTGTGCAAGCAAAAAGGCCTTGGACTCGGCTATTAGCACTAAATTACCGCAAAAGCCCTTTTAGAAACGGGTTATTGTCTGTCTATTTTTGTAACTTTCACTTGGCCAATTTAGGCGAGGTGTATTCAGTTAAGAATATGAGAAATTTTTGGATTTGTTTGGTATCCTATTTGAAAAATTTTATTATTTTTCAAAATATTTTTTAAGAATATTTCTTGAAAACAATTTTCTTTAAAACTAAAAAATTTGAGTGGAAGAAAGAGGAGAGAGGAGGAAAGAAAGTAAGAGATAATTGAAGGAAAGAGAAAGAAGATAGAGGATCGGACGAGTTAAAGAGGAAGAGGAATGAGAGAATGAACCGAGAGAATGAAGAGAGCGGATTGGAGGAGAGATGAAAAGGTAAAAAAAAGTAGAGATAAAGAAGAAGAAGAATAAGAGAGAGAGAGAGAGAGAGAGAGAGAGAGAGAGAGAGAGAGAGATTTGGAGTGAGGGAGAGAAAATGAGTAAGTTTAAATTTAAAAACTCTAAAACTCACTTTTTATGTTCTAGGGAGTATACTATATTTTTTTAGTTAGTCTTGAGTTCAGTTTTTGAAAATAGTCCTACCAAACAAGTTTTTAAGGTCTAAAATTTGAAAATTGTTTTTGAGTTTAAAAAGTTGGATTCAAATAGAGTACCAAACATGTCCTTAATTTTTTTAATGAATTTAGAGGTACTCAATCGAGATTTTAAGTGATTCTTTGAAATTCAACGTGAATTCAATCAGGATTTTACTAAATTATATTAAACTTTCCTGGTTTATTCAATTAGGAATTTATTTTAAAGAATTTTAAAAGGCTGATGAATTAGAGGGAATTTGAGAGATTTCATATAAACATTCACAAATTTCACCTCTCATCTTTAGATTTCTAGGGAATTGAATCAAAAAAATTTATGAAATCTTTACAAATCAATTTAACTCTCTTAAATTCCATGGATTTATAAATCCATTAAAATCTCTCAAATTCTCAATTGAATATACTCTCTTAAACTTTGTGTTTTCAACTTAATCATATCAGTCTTTGTCTTGATTCGGGAATAATTCTTTTTAATACATACATTGTTATCTACAATAAAGAAGTAGCGAAATGAACTAAATCTTACAATTAACTAGCCATAATAATTATGCTCAAATTTGTTCCAAAAACTTTACTTACAAGCGTTTTTTTGTAGCATTTGAAAAAAAAACATGTTTCTTACTCATAAAAAATAATTTTTAGAAAAAGCACGTACCAATATTTGTAAGCATTCAAAATGCTTTTTTTAAGCGTTTTAACGTATTTATAAAAAATTACCTTTAACATGGGTGTTTTTTTTTTTAAGCAATTTCAAATAAACCCTTAATTTAGTTAATTTAACGCATGTGCTTTTAATTCAGTTTAGTCCTTAGGCTTTTTTCTCGTTAACCATTTTGTTAAAAATAGAGACTTGAGTATATTAAAACGGTCCCTATGTTTTTTCTTTTCGCCGATTAGTCCTTTGAAAAATCATATGTTATAATTTTGGCTAGTTTGGTCCTTTATATTTAACATAGCACCCTACATATTGCTTGTATGGTGTCACTTGGTCCTAGAATTTCGAGGAGTCTAAATAGAGAATGGATTAAAGAATTAGCAAAATATTGAAGGTTTTTTAACATCTTAACGATTATGTTTTGGACTATTAAACAAGGAAATTTAGCCAAACATTCCATATGTTATGGCAAAACACTAAATCATGGCCCTAAATCGAACACCGAATCTCAAATCTATAATGTTTGGGCGTTGCTGCCATTAACACATTTTCTATTCTTCTTCAACCTTTTCATGCCTTGTGCAGAACCGGATCTCCTTTAGATCCAAATAAATTGAGCCTAAGGATCAAAGGATCCGGGCCGTTGAAATTTAATCCAACAGCTACAATTATTATAACTTTTGGAAGGCCTCCTGTTTTAGCCGTTTGATCAAACTTCAACGGTCCAGACCCTTTGCTCAAGAAGCTCAGTTTATTTGGGCCAAATGGGATCCGGTTTCGCCTTATGCATCAAATGGGTAAATTTCTTTTTAAATAACTAACATGAAATAAATCAAACTTTTTAGCCAAAATGGTCCTTAAGATTGTCATAACTCCCCACTTTGGTTTGTGATGATGAAAATTGATAAATGTTATCCCTGAGTTTGTTCACATAAATTATTTTGGTCAGTCCGTGAAAATCTATCAATATCCCCGTTAAGGTGGAATGTAGACGACCATGTGACCACATTTTTAAGGATAGTTTGTGAAATCAACTCCTTCACTTATAACACATATATTAACAGATTTTTCACATAATTACCAAAATGATTTATAGCAGACAAACTCTGAGACTACTTCTTTCAATTTTCATTATCAGAGACCATAGTGAAGAATTATATCAATCTTATGTATCATTTTAACTAAAAAGCAAACAAATCGAGTGGCATCCTTGTACTCCCCATTTTTCTTTATTTTAAGAGGGGTGCAAACATGTCACTTAATACTACAGTCTAGTGGTATTTCTCTTCAATTGTAAATAAGAGTACTTAAGTTCGATTCCTACCAAAAACGAATTTGAACCACATTATTGTTAGCTCATTGTGAGGCTAAACCTACTCCCTCCCCTTTAATGTAGATAATATCATTTGTTCAATAAAAAAAAAGGTGTAAACTATTTTCTTCAGCAAGTGACCATTTACCATAGTGGTGGAAATGAATTGAACCCTTACATGGCGGCATGAGTTTGAACTTCGTCAATAACTAATATGACGAAATCTATCGTTTGACAAAAAAAAAACACTTTTTTCTTCAAATAAAATATACATATTTAATCCTTAACAAAGTTTTTCCTAACTCTTAGATGCCATAGCATATATACAATCCAATGTATAATAAGGATCAAATCCAATCCAAAGGGATCATTCATTAAGTTTTTAAGAGTCTAAAGTTTTAATTTGGGACGCTGTCCTATTTTGGTGGTGACGGACCACTCTGCGTTGAGTGCGAGAAAATCTGACACGCATGACATTCAACAACGTATATTCTGGTTTCAAGAATAGCCACCGGGGGTGGTCCCCTGGCAACATTCCAGTCAATTTTCTCACCAAACTTCTTACATAACATGCGTCCCATCCTACTGACATGCATATTTTTCTAAAATTGTTCTCTCCGGTCAATTATATTATACTACCGTTTGATCATACGAAGAAAAAGATCGATATTCAATGGAATGCACGTCAAAAACAAATGTGAATAGGAAGAAACTACACCTTATCTTTTTCACTTGTTCAGATTAATAAACAGACAAAAATTCATTATGAGTACTTAAACGAAGGGGCGACGATTTCGAACGTATCACGTTAACATTATTCGAAACTTGCACGAATGCAAGAATTGACGACAACTTGATCAGTACTCGTATATGTGGGGTGGTTAGCATTTTCTCCAACCATCCATGAATTGTTTTGAGAGGTAATTTTCAACATCGCTCTTGTTATAAATAAATAAATAAAATTAAAATAGGGTGCTTGCACCAGAGAGTCTCCCTCAAGCCCAAAAAATGGAGATATTTTTCAGTTTGACCGGCACATGATGTGGTATATCACGTGTCACTATACAAATTGTGAGATATGTATGTTAAAAAGTTAATAATTTAAAAAATAAAATTTCTCACCACTTACCTCAAAACACGTGGTGTACTACCCATATTTCCGTCACAATAAAAAAGTTCTCCAAAAAAAAGTGCATGCATTACGTACTTCCAATAATATCAGAGTGTGAAATAGATAGAAAGTTATTAATCAAATATAAATAATTAAACAATTCAAGTTCTAAGAATCTGAATTCCTGACACGTACATTTTTTTTTTCAAATTAAACTACACAATAATATAGTTACAAACTGCAGCTTGCATGTAAAATAGAGAAGTGCTTAGCTCTTAAGGTTGAGGAGAGTTCATCCTCAAAATATTTATCGACTTATTTACAGAACTTCGTACTTATAATCGTAATTGTTTATATTATAAATTACTATGTAAAAATTGTTTATACAAAAAATCAATTAAAACTAAGACCGTTTAGTCAATCAATTGTAGCAAAAAATAAACGGTTTGCAATACTTTATCAAATCCATTCGCATGTTTTTATACAGTTCGATGACTAAACGATCTTAATTTTAGTTGATTTTTTTTGTAGAAATAATCTTTACAAAGTGATTTATAATAATCATAAGTACGAAATTTTGTGAACATGTCATAAAGTATTTTAAAGTGAAGCTCCTCCTCAATTGTAGTCAAGTCTTACCCTGTAAGATATTAATTATGTCTCTCTGCACCGTGCATATTGACATATAATTAATTAAAATGGAGTGTAGATTTTCATCTGGCTCAAAATATGCTCAAAGTTATCAGTAGACTTCTCGATGGGATGAGAATGCATGCCTTCATAAGTTGTCACAACGACTCCTTCATCTTTTGTTAACCTTTGAACTTGCTTTTTCACATTGCAACCGTGATGTGTGCACCTGTAGTAGCTTCTGCAAAAATATAAACAAATATACAAGTTAATTCATTATTCTTGATCGCTTAACATGTGGAAATTAATGGATTTATTTTCTATGCATGTTTGAATATGTATATTGTAATGTTTTCTGAGCACTAGTTCTATAAGAGCAGTTGAAGAATCAGTATTCTGTCTCCTATTCTTAATAGAAAAGAATTAATTAATTTCTGTATACATTGAGGATTAACTAGACCAAGTTCCTTTTTCTTTTCTTTTTTTATCCCCTGATATGTCTGAATTTAATTATTTTAAAATACAACATTAAAAGTTTCTCGGTGACCTTATTGAATAAAATTGAGATTTTATCATAAAACCAATTAGCAATATAGAGAGTAACTTTAACTATTTATAAGTACATACAACGCCCCATCTTTCTCCAGTGTGAGATTCATTCTCAGAAGCAGCAGCTGCAACACAAAGAACAAGCTGACTGCACTGGCACTCCTTGTTATACAACTACTAATAACACTGTTTTCAAATACATATTCAAACATGTAGTTATAGATCATTTTAATTAATTTGTTCACTTAATTAATTAATACAATCTATAAGGATTAAACTGTAGTGAAGTGAACTTTTCAACCAAGTCGATCGAGAGAATTTGCAAGGCTAAAGAAGCCAAAGGACACCATATGATACATATCCCAAATGAAGAAATTGTTTAGTAAGATACTAGGAGAGCAAGGAAACCCTTAAGCAAGAAGCGTAAATACATGCATTCTCATAGGCACCCTAATGCAACCTTGGCACATATTGTTGCTTTCTTACACTGTTGCTCACCTCAACCAACTCCCATATATGTATTCACATCAACTTTTATGGTTATATTCTTCAAGTTTATTTGCCTGCCTATTCATCTTATATATGCGGTCTATGACCTCTATCCAACCATTGTCGGTAGCCTAGCTCGCAAAGAGCTGATCAGAGGAAACAGAAGGCTAGGAGCTATAAAGTATATGAAATGATCATGATCCATATATATCTATTTATTTATTTATTTATACATATACACACACACACCATACATAACAGAGCTAATTAAGAAGCTAGCTACATGTATGTATGTACGTACCTTGGAAATTTGTTGTTCTTCACTGCTTTTTGACCATACTTCCTCCATCTATATCCATCATCAAGTATATCAACTTGACTTCTTGTTTGAAAAGCATATCTGGGTTTTCTTATTTTTTTCTGATCTCCTTTTTTCATCCCTAATCTCACAGTTGCTTCACCACTTTCAGATCCTCCAAAGCTTTTTCCCTGAGAACTAAAATTGTTCTTAATCATATTGTTTGAAGCCTCCATCTCTGACATCAGCCCTAAGAACCCATTCGATGATTTCCTATTTTGGAATTGGCGAGGATCATTACTATTGTAAACGTGATGAGCTGGGTTCCCCATGTTCAACGACAGGGGAGAAGGAGCAGGCGCCGTGGATGAAGAAAAGAATGTTGGGTAATTTTCCATCAGAGAGAAAGAAATAGAGATTAGGGGGGGGGGGGGGGGGGGGGGGGGGGGGGTGGGGGGGGTTTAGTGACTTTAGTGACGATTAATTGATGTAGGGATTTATTTATAGATTGTATGGCCTGTGATTTTCTACTTTTCTGATTGGAAACTTAGAATTATTTAAGGGTGAAGGCGGCTAGGTGGCTGCGAGCGTCCATGAGCTTCTTTTGTCGTATGCTTGATGTCGTAAACGGCACGTAAGTGCTGAGATTAATAAAGAAATGGCCACTTCCACAAGGATAATCCATCATCAACCCTGATTAGTACGATTTTATGGGACTTCATGAATCTTAAGGGTGAAAATTCATGTAAAGCCTGTCACTTGATTGTTAGGGAAATTCTATGGCCTCATGAATCTTAAAGGTGTATGGTTTTTTGAATATTACATCATAATCTCAAAGTTTATGGTAAGGTTATACAAATCATATTATTTATTACACCACTACCATTGATTTTTACATCATTAACGAGTTGTTCCAATAAAAGTAAGTTATCATAAGTGGACATCTTGGAATTACGCATTATCAGTCACTTTGGGCTCCTAACTTTCATATTTAGTGGTGTTACAATATGATATTAAGTTGTTAACTTTCAACGTCTTAATTACAAGAAATATAAGGTTACCTGCATTATAATAAAAGGTTACAATCCAATGTGACGTGAATTTCGAAGTGCACACATCAGCAACGACAACGGATTGAACGGACACACGAGAAAGGGATGACACACAAGAAACCCATGCTGCTTAAAATTCAATAATAATATTTTAAACGTCCCCTAAACCCTGAATTACATTGTGCTTAAATAGAGAAAATAACCTAGAGCCTTAACAAGAAATTAAAATACATAAGAAAAATACTTAATTTCCTTGTCTGATAAGCAATTATGGAAAATAAAATAATAACTTAATTTATTACAAATTAAGAATAATTCCTTGGTTTTTACCCTACATCACAAAGTTACAGAATAATAATGGTCACTTAGTATTATGTTGTAGGGTTTTACTCTTCACTTACAAGTGAATGGTTTTATGTTTAACTCTTGTTGAGGTGAGTTTGAAGCAAAATATTATGGCTGCCATATTATGTAGCTTAGCCCACGTCCCTCACCCCTTAATACTATTGTATTAAAAAAAATGTTACATAATAATAGTTAGTTATAACACAAAATAACATTATAACGTTGATTTTTAAGTTGTGGACGTCAAATGTCATGTTACACTATCGAGATAGATTATTATGAGTAGACGTAGTTATATTAAAAAGTATTTTCAATCTAAGGATACTTAAAGGGTGTTGTACATTATATAGGGGGTGTGATATCCACATATTCATTTCTACTTCTCACACACCTTTCTAATTTTTTGGCTGTCGAATCGGATGAATTGAAGAAGATCAAATGATAAAAATTACACAAGAAATGTGTGAGAAGTAAAAAATGGTGTGTGGATGACACATCTCTATATCCTATTACCATTAGCATTATTTAAATTGATTAATCTTGTTTCAGATGGTTGGTTTTGACCAGACTTACTTGGGTTTCGTACGGGTATACTTTTCTTTGAAATCTGAATATATGTATGTACTCTGTATTTTAACAAACAATATTTATTTTGTTTCATAAATTAACTAATCTTGTTCACATGTATTATATATATAGACCATATAAATATATAAGTGCACGTTATGGCAAGCTAGACCATATTAATTTAGGCTCCCACGCCAGTGTCTGGTAGTGGAGGTTCATTTTTCTCGAGTTAGAACACGTGTTTTAAGATCATTCTGTAATCTCTTGACTGTCGGGATAATTAAACTCATTATTAAGAACTAATCCTAATACTCCATTTCCAGGAAGCATGCATTGCATCCTCAAACTGCAGAGGAAAAACCATGTGATTAATTAGACCATTTCGAGGAAATGGGTGGTTATGCTACAAATATTATCTGATCATGATATTCAAATTCACATCATGGTTATCCTAAAAGTACATGGGGCGGTCAAACCAAAATAACTATGCTAATTACTTCAACAACATTTCCAAGTTTGGGGTAAGTTATGTCAATTTTTCTTTTTAATAGCCTGAATTACCTTTTTTTTTTTTTTGTTGAACAATAGTTTGAATTACTTAGTAGTATAAAAATAAACATTCATAATTGAGTTAATCAAATATTATTTTTTTCAATTTGCCAATCTAATAGATAAAAAGTTGAATTATCTAGTAATTCAAACTAATGGAGACAAACTCATATATATATATATATATATATATATATATATATATATATATATATATATATATAACTTCTGGATATTTTAGACTAACCAGAGTTAGCGGGATTTAATGGATGTTGAAAGTGTGTAAAAGAACAACTATTCGCTGTCCACTCGGTTTGACTATACACAGTACAGCGAAAATGAGAGCTCTGATCTCTTTGAAACTTGAAGCTGAAATAACATAAAATTAAGGGCTCCGACGGTTCATTAGCACGTAGAATCAATTTGTATGTTTTCATCAGATTGCATTGACTATAGGCAATAAGTTATAGTAATAAATCATTATACTGGAAGGAATAAAATTTGAGATGAAAGTTCAACTTTATATTTTATCAACTATTTTATAATAATGTTAGAAAAATTATAATGTTTTGACAAAGATGTTACCAACCTTCTCAGCCAGATTTTTTCATTACATTATCAGTTCTTTTCATTATGCAATATTGCATTATGATCAAGGCCATTTACTTTCTAATTTGCTCTTTAAGGATCAATTGTGCAAACAAATTAACCAAAACATAAATGTTTAACTGATTTGCAATAAAACAAAAAAAATGTTTAATTGATCGACTAATGATGTCAAAATTTTAGTTGTTAATTAGGGTATTGATATTCACCCACTCATTTTTACTTCTCTGATACCTTCTCAATTTTCGGTCGTCTGATCAGAATAATTTAATAAGATTAGTGACAAAAAATTAGTAAAAGTATGTGAAGGTAAAAATAGATGTGTGGATAACTTTATCTTTTAATTAAATAACTTAATTAATTTGTCTTTTTATTGGATAATCATTAAAAGACCAGATTTAGTTATTTTCGAAAAGTTGATCTTTAAATAATGACTCAAAAAATATACGGTTGGAATCCTTATGCAACATTGTACTACTGTAGGATGAGAATGAGAATTGTGAAGAAAGAATGAAAAAGTTTAAATAAGAAAGGTTCTCAATCAGACCTTCTCGACTCTTCTAAAAAGGATGATATCATACACCACTTGTATTCGATTGAAAATTCTGTGGCCTCTGCAGTATATTCTTTTACTTTCATATGCAGAAGAAAGAAAGAGTAAAAGAGAGAAACTTTGAACGGACACGGCAACGAAAGGGAATTATCAAGGAAAGTCATACGGCTTGAGTTTTTAAGGTTATATATATTAATGGTTGGTGGTCATCTCTAATTTCTATGCATCACATCACCACAGCCTCACCTGCTTACTGTCCAAGGAATTGTAAATGAATTAATGATCAATTAAGATCAAAAACTTAGTTAGTTGATAACTTTCCCTGTTTCCTAATTATTTTTCGATTGTAGGTATACGAAAATGTGCCAAATAGCTAAAGTGGATGAACAACAATTTTAATTAGTAATTAGAACACTAATTTGTTAAACAGAATAGTTCAACTTTCTACTTTCGACTATGAGAGTCTTTGTGTTCCTTCTCTTTCATGTATACGTAAGATTAGGGGTGCAAGCTGGTTTGGATTCCAATCCAAATTTTCGATAATTCAAAATTTCAAAATTATAACTAATATTTGATTCCGAAACTTTTCTCGACTGGCATTGGATTGCTTATTTGTGATCGATCCTACTGAAAAGGACCCCCTACGTAGGATGCATGGGATTAGGTGAGCAATTTTGTGCGTCCACCTAGACCTAATTGCAAGGGAATAGATATAAATCTCTAACGAATGAAAACTATTTCATGGTACGACAATATAGGTGTTTGGCATGTATAACGAGACCCATCTATTGCGAGATTAGATCTGCCTTTATACTTAGAATCTATAGCTAGCTAGCTAAAAAGTTGTACATGATCATCCCACTCAAAATATTAGCCTGCTAGATGATACCTACTTTTATAAACTTAATTAGATGCTAACTTATTTCTAATTAACTGATAGGTGACATCTAAGGATGTGAAAAAATGTCCACATCAGAAGTTTATTAAATTTTACACATGTTATAAGGCACTGGATTATTATTCCGTGTATTGTCAATTGGTCTTATGGTGTAAGAGCATGTTGATACTTACTGTGGATGCAATTTCTTCCTCATTGATCTTGGACAAAATTGCACCTACAAAACAATTAACACCTTAGGGTCAAGGCCAAAAGCCTCACGCACTCACGATGAATGAGGGTCTTTGGCCGAAGAACCTTCGATGCCAAAGTTAGAATTTAGAGAAAAAAGTGTTTGGAGAGTATTGAGAACTTTGCAAGTGTGTTGGAATGATCTTTTGGTGAAAATGGGAGTCTATTTATAAGGATAGGGTGGCCGGTCCCCTTTGGATGTTTTTTAGGGTGTAACTTATGGTTTAATGTGTGATTTAATGGATTAATTAGGCAATTAATTCATTAATTGGTTATTCAACACATTTTTGGAATAAATATTTTGGGGGTTATGTAATTTATATGGGATGTTTTGAAGGTTATGAAATAATTACCTTGTGGAAAATATAGGATGAGGATGGATGAAATAACTTTGAATTTGTTACCTATTTTGGGCACTTTTGATATGGTTGAAGGATGATTGCCCGCTGCTCGCGCGTAGGAACCCCGTTGTAACTCAAGGTATTTTTGCCCTCTTTTGTCCAAAAATCCACGTGTCGCCTTGTGATTATTTTTGGCTCCACAAATGCCCCCACACCTGTTGGGCTGCTCATAGGAAAGGGCAGCAGGTGTAGAGATCATCTTGCTTTAGGAAACGTATGACTGCTTCCTATTTTGATGT